ATATTATATTATATTGAGAACAGGAAACGGAGTAGGCCTAGGGTGTGCATTGGATAATAACTATTATGAATGTACGTAATAGGCTCTACATACACCTACCAATATCACAGTGGTTAAAAAAAAATTGACCAGTTTTATTTTGGTAACGGAATTACACAGAAATTTTTTAATTTCAATTTTGATTACAGTTAATGAGATTTCTGGATATTATAACCAATTAACATTAGTGACTGGTATCAGTCTGGACACAAGGTGTGGATACATTGTTAATGAAAGCTTGCTGCTCATATATTTATGGTTTATATTTGACTGGTTTTATTTGGAAACGGAATTACATGTCTGACTACTGAATAGAATACATCAAACTATCAAAAAGGAATTGGTAATAATCTTTAGTGTACTTGTAGAACTGCATCATATGATTTTAAGCTACTTTAACTACAGTACAGTAGGCAGTATTAGCTATGGCAATTTTTATTTTGGTAACGGAATTACACAGAAATTTCAATTTTTTCGAAGTTCCTCTGAATATTATAACCAACTAACATCAATGCCTGGCATCATAGTTTGGACATAAGATGTGGCTTAATTGTTATGAAAGTTTGCTGCTCATATATCTATGGTTAACTGTATTTGTATGGTGTTGTTTGGTAACGGAATTACATGACACAGTAATGGAATTACATGTCCGATAGAACATAGAGGTGGAATAAAATATCAAACTATCAAAAGAATGCATATCCATCTGCGGTTCAAATAGCTCAGTACTATGCAAGATCTATCCACTATATCTATGAATGTCGTCAATAACAATCCACATAAGTTAACTAAATTCGAATTTTTTAACAAACTTCAGGGTAAACTTGTGATTATGACTTTCGAGAACCTGACCAACAAACTTGATGGCATTCTTCTGACAAATATACTTAACAACCACCCACTTCAGGTCGGATCTATAGACAGTTTATTATCACTTTTGACTGTAGTCTTAACATTACTGATACCACCATGAGCTTCATTACTTTCTTCAACTTCATCACTATCATCAGCATCATCACTGACATCTGCATCATCACAATCATCAGCATCATTACTATCATCAGCGTCATCACTAAATTCAACTTATCACTGTCTTCACGGTTATTAGGGCCGTTGTTAAAGTCATTTGCCGCCACCTTGTCATTTATAGGCTCCATTGGACATAAGTATCAAACTGAATAAATGCTATGGTGGAATATGGGCAGTATAATTTGTAATAGTTAATAACGTTTTATTAACTGTATTTCTATGACCCAATGTAATTGGGTTACCATGCAATTCCGTTACCAAATGTAATTCCGTTACCAGGTTTTCTACAAAACTAGCGAAGATCAAAGAAAACTGATGAGTGATAATGGTAAATGTGTACCGGTATGCCAATAAATATAAAGTAAGTTGAGTTTATGGAAAACATTAATCACTTTTTTTGTTAACGGAATTACTGTTTGTGGTTTGATATTACTCAATACCTACCATGCCATGTCAGAGTCTATCTCAACATTAGAGTTCTAGGGACTATTAAGTCAAATATTCAGAATAATTGAAGTCAGGAAGGGTTGAGTCAAGTATAATTGGCGATTATTTTTTTAAATTAGCTATATATATTTTTTTTAATCATATGCTCGAATAGCGAAAGGTCCACTGATTAATCTCAGATAAGAAAGTATAATACATACTCCAAGTATTGAAATACACGCCATCGTGTTTGGATTCAATATTTCGACATTAATTATGTCATCATCAGGAATGA